ACAAATGTATAATTATTGCTTTATTTTAAAACGTTTATAATATATATAATATATATTTGATTACGACTTTTTGTAAAGAATTATTGTTGCTTGCGGAAGTTATAACTTAGCATTTTTTTTACATATGTGATGTCTTTTAGTGGGATATATATATATATATATATATATATATCATTGGTATGATACATATATATAATTTAATTTTAGACTAAATTTACAAATTATGAACTCGAGTAACTTAAATAAAAACAATTTTTTGATATTGACTTAATTTGATCGAAATTGGCTGATTCTCGATGTCAATTTCGATGTCGATGAGTTTTCGATGAATCGACGTTGAATCAACATCGATTCGACATCAGCATTTTCACGTCTTGCGGGTAAAGTTTCGTTAGCATTTCATTTGGTACGTAATGCGTATTTTCAAAATTACAGAAATAGCGACCAATTTTGAACTTATCGATCCATTTCGGCGCTGCTAAAGTGAGTTTATCTAAAATTAAAAAAGCAAATAAGAAACAATGTACAAAAAATAAAATAAATATAATTAACAAATTATTAAATGAAATTAATAAATAAATTATAAAAAGAAATATAATGTTCGTAGAATAAACAAATATATAATTTTCAATAAAACACGTTCTATATGATATTTATATAATATATTCATATCTTTCATTACTTAACATATTTTATTATTATTGGTAAGAATAATATAATTTGTTTGTTGCTCTTTAAATTGATAATTGTGACAATGATTCAACGGCAAGAAATCTATTTCTATTGTATAATTTATTGTAGTACATCTGTCGCTATTTAGTTCGTACAAAATTTCATAACGTCTGTCTGTATGACGATCCTATCCGATTATGACGTCGTCGTAATTATTGCAATTATCACGATGTGTTACGATCATTCCTACTGCAAATTTTACGTCCTTTTGTCTAATGAATTGCCCTGTTTTTTTTAAACGAAGTTTTTTGATCTGAAAGTTTAATGTTATACTTTAATTTATTATTCTTGCCATTTAATTCTTAAATATACATTTATAGCAAATTTAATTATCTATATTGTTAAATTAAAAATAATAATTACTCATATGTATATAGCTGTATGTGCAAAGAGAAAAGAAAGAGAATTTTTTTATTACTATTATAATATATTTTTAATATATGCAGTGTGTAAAGTGTAAACATACTTCAAAGCCACTTTCATCAAATAAATAAGTCCTATTACGCTGCATAATCTAACAAAAGTTGTTATATGGTATGTCAAATCTATAACTCTTAGCATTATCTCGTTTCGCAGTTCATATGATATTTGACCAAAGCTTTCGCATGGTAAAGAATCACCACAATATAAATGCTGCAACTTTCTTCGATACAGTAGTTTATTGACAAGACAATCTGGGAATTTCTCAAAAATTAAATTATAACATCTTTCATTTTCTGAATTATCCGTGCCACTGCAAAGCAAACAAATTATTTATTTATTAGTCGCACTTGTGTATGTAGAAATATTTTTTAAAAGATTTCGATATTTCCAAATTTAATTTTACACTACTTACTATCTTGATTTCCAATATATATTGAGGGGTAGTTCTGTTAGATCATCCAATTTTATAGTCGGAACGTAGACCAAGTCTTCTTGCCACGTTGTGATATATTAATAATAAAATTATTTTTTGTCCATATCTACTTTTTAATACCTATGCCAGAAATTGCAATAAATTAATGAGAGAATGACAGAATGTTTAATATATAAACATACGAATAGCCATGCACACAGCACATTTTTCTTCTTCTGAAGCCATATATAGTTATAATATACATTATATATATAAAACTTACATTTATACACATGTATTTTAAATTTGTATCGTTCAGTTTGCATGGTCGAAAATTTAATTCGCCAAATATGTATTCGTCGAATGCATCGATAATCTGAATTTCTTCCGCTTCGTTTCAGTGATTATTGTCTATATTATTGTTTTTTCAATAAGAAAAAGTTTCAGCGGACGTCGAAAATATCGAATGATCTGGATGTTTTTTTTTTAGATAATTTTGTATTTCTAGTGCGATATTATCCAAAGATTCTACTTCGTACGCGTAAGTTACATCTTTTTGGATTTGTAAAGTTTGTGCTACATTAAAGGTAATCCATTCCAAAAGCTGCTCTTCATCAGGTAAAGTATAAAATTTGTCCAAGCTTAATTTTAGATTAGAATTCTTTATAGAGTTAAATAGTTTCTTGTGATAATATTTTTCGGTTAAATCGCAACCAGTTCTTCTGAAAAATTTACATATTAAAACTGTGCAAGAACATAATCTATAAAAATGTTAACATTATAAGATATATTAAGAATCCTATCGTGGAGAATGTGTAAGCAAGCTTTTAAGCTCATCATTGTAGAAAGAAAATTCGGTGAATCTTCGATCAACATAAACTAATGCCTCATAATTACATCTGTTTAAATAATCACGTAAATGAAATATATGTTTGAAATTCACACAATTATCGATTGATTCATTGTGATAATGCATATATTGTATTTCATTTGAGATACGTATTCTCGTAATTGTCTCGTATAATTGATACCCAATTCTTTAAAGTTCATAATTTGTTTCTTAGATTTGTATTCTTCATGATCTTTAGTTTTAGACAATATGTCACAATATTTTTTTAAAGAAGGCCATCTAAAATTGAAACAAGAAATGATTCAATAATGTTTTCAAATAATATGAAGACTTCTATTGCAGCATCATTAATCAAAATTCAGAGCAATATATATATATTTATTTAAAATAATTATAATTTTATATTTGATTCTTACATATTTATTTATTTAGGATATTTTATAAATTATTCGGTTAATTGATATATTTTTATAATATCACAATTATATATAAAAAGTATTCTTTTTTATTTAAATTTCATCATATTATACAATTGTATGCTATATTTCTAATTTCTAATTATATTATATTATATTTATTCATCACGTTATGAAAATGAGCATAAAGACTAAGTTTGCATGTGTTTTTAATAAAATTTTTCAATTAAGGAAAAAAGTATTTTATTATATAATGTATTTATAAAAATTTAGTTACGTGTAAAGAGCTAAAATGGACAATTAGACGAAATATTTTGAATATTTAACTATACGCATTCATTCAATTTTCTGCGCCTTGTCTCTCATTAATGCGTTTTTTACGCGTTCGTTTTTATTAGATGTGGCAACTGAAAATACTTTATATCGCGATATTTCTTGAATATACAAAATCATCCAGTTGTTTTATATAATATATAAAGAATCGATCCCTAAATCCGACGAAGAGGTAAAGCAGGCGATACATGAGTGTTTTTATGTTCTAGAAAAAACTTTTTCTAGAAATATCCAGGCACTTTTAAAACACTGGAACATTTTTATTATACGCCATGGGGATTATTTACAGTTAGAAAAATAATATAAAAGTGTGTATTTTTTGTATTCGAAAAATTATGAGATGTAAAGTATTTAATAAAATAAAAATGCTTTCTAATCGACTCATCTAATATCCATTGTTTAGTAAAGTCTGTTTGTTTTAATAAATTATTGTACATTAATTTTGTTATTAAATTTGAAATGTAGAAATATATATATTTATAAAATTTATTACGTATCCCGAAAAGTATCACACTTCATTATTTGATTCCATATGTTAATAATTATGGATTGGAAATGAAAGAAAAATAATAAATTACATTCTTCAGTTAATTTCAGGTAGAATTTACTATAATAAAATTTTAATTTGAGGCTTAATTATAAAGATACATAATGACAAATATTGGAAAGTTGTAAAAAATGATGACCTTTTTCGACATTTTTGCTGAGGAAAAATCGTTTCCAAATTGACCAAAGAATCCACTTGTAATCGTTGGTCCGTTAGTTGCCGGACACCCTGTAAATGTTGGAAACTCTATTGTGCCATTTTCATTCTACAATGAGCCTATCAGACAGAAGAAGACAGAGAATCACAGAGAACAGTATTAAATTAACGCGTAAAAGTGCGTAGCAAATATAAAAATAAATCATCTTTTAAATTATGCATCTCTTTAAAACTCGCACGAAGTAATACATTAATAATTTTAAGAGATGTTAAATTTTTCAAACAAAATATAGTTATTTTTATTTTATATATTATTTACAAAAGTACTATTTTCCTATTTTGAGAATTTTCTTTTTTATGTATTCCCTCTGCTACCCTTTTTTCGTGTTAATTTAATATTATTCTGTAATTCTCTGTCTTCTTCTGTCTTGAAGGTTTATTGTAGAATAAAAATGGAACAATAGAATTTTTAACGATACATTTTTATTTCTTTTCTTATGGTGCATTACGTGACAACGTGCACGACGAAGAGGAGCACTTTAGGTTAACAGGTAAAAATTTGCAATTTCTTTGAATCGCAATAAATCTCTCAGGTAGTGCATTCTTGTATGAGAAAAATATAATAGATAAAGTTTGGGTTACAGTTTTTAGAAATGTGCCATTAACAGATTATATGATAGGTCTGAGACACCCTGTATATTTCTTACAACAAGGAGTGTCATAAGCAAGGAGACGCGATGATTTTCATTTTATTTGATTTCTGTTGATTTTCAAATTCTTACAATTATGTAAAAAATAGTGAATTACTTTCAAACTCACTCAATATCTTGCTCATTATTTGTAAAAACTAAAACTGCAGGATAAATAAATTCGAAATTTTTAAATGTATTTTCTGCTACTCTTTATTCGTGTTAATTTAATATTAATCTGCAATTCTCGGTCTTCTTCTGTCTTGAAGGTTCATTGTAAAATAAAAATGGAACAATAGAATTTCCAACAATACATTTTTTTTCTCTTTTCTCTTTTCTTATGGTATGCATCACGTGACAACGTGCACGACGGAAGGGAACATACTTTAGGTTCGCAGGTAAAAATTTCACAAAAAAGTGGACAGAGCAAGAACAACGTCCGTAGCATTCACATCGAACACGTGTTATGCGAATTGAAATTTGTAATAATTAGACGCGAATAATTTGTTGCAATCACTTCGATTTATATAATTATCTATAGTGATCTTTCTCGAATTTTTGTCATAATGGCAACGATAACATCCTTACCAAAGGAATTGATACCCATCATTCTCAGCTACAAGGATATCACCATCGAGGATATCATTAATTTCCAATGCGTTCGCAAACAATTTCGTTATGTAGCCAGCTATACAAAGTATTGGGAAAGAAAATTTTCTCAAAGGTAAGTTTTTGTTGTTTGTATATTTTACAATAATAGATCAAACATTGCATCATCAGTTTTGTATAATTGAAAGTTTTATCTTAAAAATTACAAATATAAAGAATACAATAAAATACAGAGTAGAATAAAACAGAATCTATTAAATAATCATTTTCTAAAAAAGAAATTCAAATCGATTCTCGTAAATATTGTACCTTCGTTTTGCGACGATGTGACGATTAGATATGTGTCTCGATTTGCATTGTGAGTTACATTTGCTTAACAATTATTGTTTCAATCAAAATATGTATGTGTTATCTATATGGTATTATTGTTTTGTAGAAATATAACGATTTCTTATAATTATGCATTTTTTATAATTTTGGATTATATACATTCGAAAATCGTCGTCCAATTTATTTATTACTTTTCTTTCATTTCCAATTCGTAATCATTAACAGATGGAAACAAATAATAAAGTGTGATAATTTTCGGGATATTTAATAAATTTTATATATATTTCGATATATTTAAAATTTAATAAGAAAATCAATATACATTTATTAAAACAAATTGTTAAAAAGATTCTAATGAACAATGGCTATTAAGTAAGTTCACTAAAAAAAATTTTCATTTTATTAAACACTATTTATCTCGTAATTTTTCGGATACAAAAAGTACACACTTTTAGATTATTTTTTTAATTGTAAATAGTCCCCATTGCGTTTAATAAAAACATTCCAGTGTTCTGGAAGTGTCAGTATATTTCTAGAAAAATTTTATACCTAAGAACATAAAGACACTCATGTAATGCCTGCTTTACCTCTTCGTCGGACTCGGGGATAGAATTTTTATTATATAATACAATTGGATGATTTTGTATATTCAAGACATAACGCGATAAAAATTATTTAAGGTTTTTAGTTGACACATCTAATAAAAACGAACGCGTAAAAAACGCTTTAATGAGAGACAAGACGCAGAAAATGGAAATAACGCGTATAGTTAAATATTCAAAATTCTTGCTATAATTCTTGCCCATTTTAGCTTTTTACACGAAACATAATTTTTATAAATACATTATATAATAAAATAATATTTTTAAATAATTAAAGAATTTTATTAAAAACACATGCAAACGGTGGCTTTCCATCCATTTTCATAACGTAATGAATAAATGTAATATAATATAATGAGAAATTGGAAATATAGCATACAAGTGTATAATATGATGAAATATAAATAAAAAAAAATACTTTTTATAATTGTGATATTATCAATATAATATATCAATTAACTAAATAAGTTGTAAAGTATCTTAAATAAATAAAATATGTAAAAATCAAATACAAAATTATAATTAATTTAAAAATATATTGCTCTGAATTTTGTTTAATGATGCTGCAATAGAACTTTTAATATTATTTAAATAATTTATTAAATCATTTTTTGTTTCAATTTTAGATGGCCTTCTTTAAATGAATATTGTGACATATTGTTTAAGACTATTAAAAATCGTAGAAAATGCAAATCCAAGAAAAAAATTATAAAATTTATAAAATTGGGTATCAATTATACGAGACAATTACGAAAATACGTGTCTCACATAAAATATATCCATTATCACAATGAAACAATCGATAATAGTGTGCATTTCAAACATATATTTCCTTCTTATTTTGAAGACAATAATTATGAAAAATTCATATATTGTAATCGAAGATTCTCCATATTTTCTTTTTACAACGATGAGCTTAAAAGCTTGCTTACACATTCTTCACGGTAGGATTCTTAATATATCTTATAGTGCTAACATCTTTATAGATTATATTCTTGCACAGTTTTAATATGTAAATTTTTCAGAAGAACTGGTTGCGATTTAACCGAAAGATATTATCACGAGAAACTATTTAACTTTATAAAGAAGTCTGATATAATATCAAGCAATCACGATTTTATTCTTTTACCTGACGAAGCGCAACTTATGGAATGGATTGCCTTTAATGTAGCACAAATTTTACAAATCCAAAAGGATGTAACTTACGCGTACGTAGTAAAATCTTTGGATCATATCGCACTAGAGATACAAAATTATCTGAAAGAAAAACATCCAGGACATTCAATATTTTCGACGTCCGCTGAAACTTTTTCTTATTGGAAAAACAATAATATAGACGATAATCACTGGAACGAAGCGGAAGGAATTCAAATTATCGATGCATTGGACGAATACATATTTGGCAAATTAAATTTTCGACCGTGCAAAGTGAACGATACAAATCTGGAATACATGTGTATAGATAATGTAAGTTATATAATGTATAAAAACGTAGATATTTGAGAATCGCCAGACAGAATTTAAAAAAGGTAAGAATCTTCTCTCGACCGTACTGGCAAATATTATTTATTCAATCACAACGTTTCGACCCTTCTTTGAGTCTTTATCAAGTGATTTGTAAAAATAAAAATAAAATACTAATTTTAAGATGTCAAAACGAACATAGTGTCGATTTGACAACACGTCAAGACTCTTAAACGAGTTATTGGTGATTAAACAACCTTTAAAATTTTGTCGTATTACTTAGATTGTCGGTATTCTTTTGTAAATTAATAGCGTTATTATTTTTCTTAATAAAAACATTTCAGCGATTTCTTTTTTTCTTACGTGTTTTTCACTGTTCAAAATAGGCGAAGTTTAGTCAAAATCGTGATCGAATTCAATTTTATGTTTGCTGATAACTGATAAATTATTCGAATGCATTTTGGTGTTGCTGAAAAAAAATGTGCCTTTACACGTGTACACAGATGTCTCTTTGTCCGATGTATGACGCGTTGCAATCATTACAATTAATTTCGTAAACTACTTCATTCTTTTTATTTGTAGGCAGTCTATCCTTGCCGAGTGTAATTAAATAATTCGGTTTTTTAGGAATATTATGAACAACATTAAATTTGATATTTTTAAAAATTCGATCGATATTGCTTAAGCTATTAACATAAGGTAGTGAAATAAAAGGAGACTTATCAACAATATTTCGCTTATTACTCGATTTATTCATGTTTTCCAATCACTCTTTTAAATATAAAATAAACACAATTTTTAATTTTGTAGATCACGCGATTCTTTTATCTAATGACCAGTTTCACAACGAGAATATTAATATCGTGAAACAGATTTTATTTAATAACTGTTTTCCTAAACATGTAATTGATCGTTGGGTTAATAAAAGATTAATTTTTTAAAACACAGAAACATAAATGAATCGAGTAATGAGCGAAATATTGTTGATAAATCTCCTTTCATTTCACTACCTGATGTTAATAGCTTAGGCGATATCGATCGAATTTTTAAAAATTTCGGATTTAATGTTGAATCGAGTAATGAGCGAAATATTGTTGATAAATCACCTTTCATTTCACTACCTGATGTTAATAGCTTAGGCGATATCGATCGAATTTTTAAAAATTTCGGATTTAATGTTGTTCATAATATTCCTAAAAACCGAATCATTTAATTACACTCGGCAAGGATAGACTGCCTACAGATAAAAGGATTGAAGTAATTTACGAAATTAATTGTAATAATTACAACGCGCCATACATCGGACAAACAAAGAGACATCTGTGTACACGTGTAAAGGAACATTTCAGCAACACCAAAATGCATTCCAATAATTAATGAATTATCAGCAAACATAAAATTGAATTCGATCACGATTTTGACTGGACTTCGCCTGTTATTTTGCACAGTAAAAAACACGTAAGAAAAACAGAAATTGCTAAAATATTTTTTATTAAAAAAATAATAACGCTATTAATTTACAAAAGGATATCGACAATCAAGTAATATCTACGACAAAATAATAAAGATCGTTTAGTCTCCAATAACTCGTCTAAGAGTCTTGACGTGTTGTCAAACCGACACTATGTTCGTTTTGACATCTTAAAATTAGTATTTTATTTTTATTTTTACAAATCACATGATAAGGACTCAAAGAAGGGTCGAAACGTTGTGATTGAATAAATAATATTTGTCAGTACGGTCGAGAGAAGATTTTTACCTTTTTTATATAATGTATATTATAACTATATGTGGCGTCAGAAGAAGAAAATCGTACTGTGAGCATGGCCTTTTTTTTGTTTATATATTAAATATACTGTCATTCTCTCATTAATTTATTGCAATTTCTGGCATAGGTACTAAAAAGTAGATATGGACAAGAAACTATTTTATTAATAATATATCACAGCGTGGCAAGAAGACTTGGTCTACGTTCCGACATTATGGGATTCTGTAATCGAGTAGAACTATCTCACTGTATATATTGGAAATCCAAATAGTAAGTAGTATAAAATTAAATTTGGAATTATCAAAATCTTTTAAAAGATATTTCTACATATACACAGGTTTGCATAATAGATAAATAATTTTTTTGTTTTGCAGTGGCATGAATAATCCAAAAAATGTAAGATGTTTTAGTTTAATTTTTCACAAACTCTCAGATTGTCCTGTCAATAAACCACTGTATCGGAAGAAGTTGCAGCATTTATATTGTGTTGATTCTTTACCACGCAAAAGCTTTCATCAAATATCACCAAGTGAACTGCGACACAAAATACTGCTAAGAGTTGCGGATTTGACATACCACTATAACAACATTTCTCAGATTATGCAGCGTAGTAGAATTTATTCATTTAAATCGAGTAACTTTAAAGTATGTATGCACTATACACACCGCATATATTAAAATATATTATAATAGTAATAAAAAATTCTTTCTCCTTTCTCACGTACAGCTATATACATATGAGTTATAATTAATTATAATTTAACAATAAGAGTAATTAAATATGCTATAAATAAATATTTAAGAATTAAATGTCAAAATTTATAAATTAAAGTATAACATTATACTTTCAGGTCAAAAAACTTCGTTTAAAAACAACAGGGCAATTCATTAGAACAAAAAACGTAAAATTTGCGGTAGGAATGATCGTAACACATCGTAGTGGTTGCAATAATTGCGACGGCGTCATAATCGGATGGGATCGTCATACAGACAGACGTTATGAAATTTTGACACAAAATCTACATAGCTATAGATGGCTTAGAGAAAGTTATTTAAGAGATAGAAACTTTTTGCCTTTGAATCATTGTAACAATTATCAATTTACAAAGCAGCAAACAAATTATATTATTCTTACCAATAATAATAAAATATGTTACGTAAATGAAGGTATGAATACATTATATATCATATTGAACGTGTTTTATTAAAAATTATATATTTTTATATTCTACGAACACTTTATTTCTTTTTATAATTCGTTTTTTATTGATTTCACAGTTATATAATACATTTTATTTATTAATTTGTTTATTATTTATTTTACTTTTTGTACATTGTTTCATATTTGCATTTTTTAATTTTAGGTAATCTCACTTTAGCAGCGCCGAAATGGATCGATAATTCCGAAATTGGTCGCTATTTTTGTAGATTCGAAAATACGCATTACGTACCAAATGAAATGCTAACGAAACTTTACCCGGAAGACTCCGCTGTAATTACATAGAGGACAAAATCTGCAAATTAATATTATGCATAACATTATGCAATATTTAAAAGAAAAGTTTTAAGAAATTTTATATTTTAAGACTAAATATTATATAGTGTAAACTATGACGTTATTATAGTGTAAATTCTGTTTCCATATATAATAGCTTTATAAAATTACGCTAATTTACTTTTTTTATGTACTATAGAGCAAGAAAAGCGTGCGTTACGCATGCGCCATTTCTCAATTTTATATTAACTTTTACTTTAATACTTTAAAACTTGTCAAAAATACAATTTATCTATAATATTAGTTTTATTTTTCTAGTATTAATTTTATTTTTCCAAATATTGGTTTTATTTCTCTTAATATTAGTTTTATTTTTCCTAATATTAGTATTATAATCCTAATATTAGTTTTATTTATGAAAAATTATCTTTTTGTTCTGTGATTTAGAGTTTAAATAATAATAAGTAATAGATCGCCGGGAAACGACTACTGTGTCTTGAATTTGCAAACTTATTTGTTTTGCTACCACATGTTCGATAACTCGTTTTGGAATAAATTCCATTTCAGATAAGAGTACAGAATGCAAGAGAAACGTAGGCAAAAGTGCGAGCTCGACGAATAATAAACTATCTCTTAGATTTTTAGATATACACGTCTTAACTTGTTTATTAATGGCAGTAATAGGTATTTTGTATCAACGAGTTGTTGGTTTTTAGCCATTATAGTTTAGCCTGCAGCCTCAATAATATAAACAATAAAATTTTTGTTTTTAAGTTTCAAAATACATATCTAATATACATGAATTTATAAAAAATTAATTGACAAAATGTACAACAGTTAAGTATACGTATATAATAAAATAATTGTCTATCCTATTATTTTATCCTGCTATTTATATACAATTTTAAAAGGTTAAAATGAAGCGATACAAAAGCGATTTAGATAATTTTTAATAAATTAGATTTAATTTTTATTTTTCAATATATAAGACATTTTCAAAATATCGACAATAAGAATATTATACATTATTTATACATACTACATACTTGATATATTTTTTGTGTAGAAATTGTGGCAAAGTTTTTCTCTGATTTCCAAAAAGGTAAGTTTATTTCCAAGGTATTTCTAGTTTCTATTGCTTATTTTACAACTGTCAAATTGTTAATCTGTGCAATAACAGTTGCTTGATGCTATAAATTTAATTTGTCGAATTTTTATTATTATACATAATTTTAATTCGCCGAGTTTCTATTATATACATCATTTTAATGCGCTGAATTTCTATTATGCAAATAATTTTAATTCGTCAAATTTATATTATGTACATAATTTTCATTATGTATATAATTTTAATTTATTAAATTTCTATTATGTACATAATTTTAATTTGCCGAATTTCTATTTGTATTGTTTCAGAACTATTTTGTATAGATGTATCTTTTTATATATTTTTTCTCATTGTGTTTAGTTTAATCAAATATAATTACGTGCGCAAAACGAAGATATATTATTCTTTGATAATAATACTTTACAAATTGCAACGAATGTATAAAATGATTATTGCAATGCAGGCAAAGAAATATATTTATTAATTATGTGATTCATAAAAATCAATATTTTAATTTTAAAAACAAAAAAATAAAATTTTCTACAAGAATCTTTCTCGATCAAAATATCTGTGCTTCCATCTGATTAACCGTTTCATGCATGATATGCATCATTTATCCTTGTTTAACATTTGGTGAACAACAACGATAACTGATGCATTTTGCGCATCATGCATGAAACGGAATGTACTCTGATACATCCCACACGTTCATCATGTTACGCGGTTCGCGCGAGACTGATTCACAATTCACGTGCGGAGTATCGCGAGCGCGAAAACGGTGGACACATGACCAGTGGTCACGTTACCAGTTACTCACTGGTCACGTGACCTCTTCTTCGCACTCGTGATACCTCGTGCGAGAATCAGTTTCGCGCGAGCCGCGAAGCGTAACGTACGAATAGGGTGTAGGTCATAAATATAAAGAATATAAACATACATTTTCTATAAACATATATGTTTTACATATATATATTAAAATTATTCGATTTACTGACAATGAGTAATTTGAATTCTTTACTGTAGATTGCGATCTAACCATCATATCTCTCTGGGTGTGTAATGTACATAACTTATACGTCCTTTTAGTCTCAAATTAAAATATTGGAATTCAAATTTTTAACTAGTTTACACTGATATTTTTAAAATTAAATAATAATATATTAAAATTGTTTATATGCAATATATACCGAAAATTAGTTCGAATTTGTATGTTTTCTACTACGAAAATAAACAGTTTATAATTTTATTTTTTATCATATATATTTTGGACATTACATTTTATATAACTTTACATCGCGTATTAATTATTTATGTCCAAATAAATTATTTTAGTATGTAAAATGTTTTTTTTTACGAAAATTTGTGAAAATTAATTGTGCCTGTATATAAATAAATTTATTAGAACAAATGTTTATTGAAAAATAATATATATATTTTTCTTGTTCATATACACATGTATGTCATTGTTATATCTTCCTTCTTCCCATCTTCAGTATTACATAGAAAATATGAAAATTTGAGAATAATTAATGAGTAATTATAATTATACATAAAAAACGTGCGGCAAAATGAAGCAGTTTAATATCACGTAATATATATATATAATTATATATAATATAATATATATATATATATATATATATATATATATATATATATATATATAATATACGTGATATTAAACTGCTTCATTTTGCCGCACGTTTTTATATATATATATATATATATATATATATTTATGTGTGTGTGTGTGTATGTGTGTTATTATCGTAATTTTATAAAGTTATTAAATAGTGACAGAATTATAATTATGTCATCGCAAAAAAAGAAAAAAGGAATTCTTGATACAAAGTATATTATTTTTATTATTGAGTGCTATTTCATTGATTTTAGAATAGAATGTTCTTTGTAATCACAAATAGTCATATGCCTTAATAATAAATAAGTTTGTGTGAAGTATATTTTATCCTTAAGGTATATTTTCGATTTAAAATCATTATATGGTAAAATAGTGATAAATACGTTTTAATACTTGTACATATAGAGAAAAATACTTATTATTATATACTTTGACTACGAATAAGATTAACACATAATGTATATATATATATATATATATATATATATATATATATATGGTATGATACATATATACCTGTATTATTTCAATATTAGACTAAATTTACGAATTTTGAAAGCGTGTAACTTAAAATAAAGCAATTTTCTGATATTGACTTAATTTGATCGAAATTGGCTGATTCTCGATGTCAATTTCGATGTCGATGAGTTTTCGATGAATCGACGTTGAATCAACATCGATTCGATATCAGCATTTTCACGTCTTGCGGGTAAAGTTTCGTTAGCATTTCATTTAATACGTAATGCGTATTTTCAAATTTACAGAAATAGCGACCAATTTCGAAATTATCGATCCATTTCGGCGCTGCTAAAGTGAGTTTATCTAAGTTTAAAAATTGCAAATAAGAAACAATGTACGAAAAATGAAATAAATATAATTAACAAATTATAAAATAAAATTAATAAATGATTTATAAAAAGAAATATAATGTTTGTTGAATAAACAAATATATAATTTTCAATAAAACACGTTCAATATAATACTTATATAATATATTCACATCTTTATTTACGAAACATATTTTATTATTATCGGTAAGAATAATATAATTTGTTTGTTGCTCTCTAAATTGATAATTGTGACAATGATTCAACGGCAAGAAGTCTATTTCTATTGTATAATTTATTGTAGTCCATTTGTCGTTATTTAGATTGTGTGTCAAAATTTTATAACGTCTGTCTGTATGACGATCGTATCCGATTATGACGTCGTCGTAATTATTGCAATCATCACGATGTGTTACGATCATTCCTACCGCAAATTTTACGTCCTTTTGTCTAATGAATTGCTCTGTTTTTTTTAAACAAAGTTTTTTGATCTGAAAGTTTAATGTTATACTTTAATTTATCATTTTTGCCATTTAATTCTTAAACATACATTTATAGCAAATTTAATTACCTTTCAAATTTATTGAAATTTTTTACCTAATTGGCCAATACAATTTAATTTGAAACACTACGTTTCGACCCTTAGATACGGGTCCTTTTTAAGTGTAACTGCACAATAAAAATATACAATGATTAAGATATGAAACAATAATTTACAAAGTTGTTTTTAATTACAAACGAAGAAATTTGCGATATTATAAAAATAATGTACCTTTCAAGATGTTGATTCGACAGCAGTAAAATTACTAATGTTAAACCGGAGAGAGACAAGTAAATCAATTTAAGTCAAACGTTGAAAACACAATAATATCATTTTTTGGTGAAATTTGGTGGAAAATATTACGAACAAATTTTCGGCCGCCCGATGGGATCACTCTTATCACCAATATTGGCTGACTTGGTCATGGACGAGCTTGAAACACAATGTTTAAGCAAGTTAAACTATATACCGGTCTTTTACAGATACGTTGATGACATTTTTGCAATAGCACCGAAAACAAAAATTAATGAGATATCAACGATGTTTAATAATTACCACGAACGTCTAATGTTCACGCATGAGGTTGAAGTCAACGGATCTGTAAATTTCCTCGACGTTACTGTTGTAAAAGCGGAGGGGACATTGTTGACCAATTGGTACAGAAAACCCACTTTTTCTGGCAGATATATATTAATTTCCTTTCTAACCACCCTCTTCAGTACAAAATCAACACGATTAGAAGTTTAGTCGACAGAGCTTTATTACTCTCAAATGAATGCTTCCACACTGATAACATCAGAATTATTACGGATATTTTGGTCAACAATTGCTTCCCGAAACCTTTCATTAAACTACATATTGAGAAGAGAATGAAAACACTAAAACACCGTAGAGAATTTTTGATGGTTAATGACAATGGATTTAAAAAGTTTAATACGAGATCATTGTTACCGATACCGTATATAAAAAACTTGAGCGAAAATCTGAGTAATACGTTAAAAAAATGTGGCCTCGACATTGTTTATACTATCCCGAAAAAATTAAATAGATTAATCAAGAGAGGTAAAGATAAGATCAACCATATGAAAAGAACTGACGTTGTGCATCTGATAGAATGCAACGATTGCAATGCGACATATACAGGGCAAACAAAAAGACAATTAGCTACACGCGTATAAACGAACATTTTAAAAATATTAAACAACATTATAGCAATTTCAACGTAATTAGCAAACATCGTATAAAATATGACCATGATTTTAAATGGATGGAACCTAGGATTTTGCATTGCGAAAAACACAGAAGGAAAAGAGAATTAGCGGAGATGTTTTTTATTAAAAAATAAGAATAACATATCAATTTACAAAGAGACACAGAAAATCTAAATCCTATTTATGATAAGTTGATCCACAATATATGATTGTCCATTTATTTATTTCGTTGTATTGTCGAACTTTGATATTTTGTGTTTTAACGTTTGACTTAAATTGATTTACTTGTCTCTTCCGGTTTAACATTAGTAATTTTACTGCTGTCGAATCAACATCTTGAAAGGTACATTATTTTTATATTATCGCAAATTTCTTCGTTAACAACTTTGTACATTATTGTTTTATATCTTAATCATTGTATATTTTATTGTGCAGTTACACTTGAAAAGAACCCGTACCTAAGGGTCGAAACGTAGTGTTTCAAATTAAATTGTACTGGGCAGTTAGATCGAAAATTTCAATAAATTTGTATAGTTTTACTCATCACTGGCGACTTCATTATTTTATCGTTATTAATTACCTTTATTGTTAAATTATAAATAATAATAACTCATATGTATATAGCTGTACGTGCAAAGAGAAAAGAAAGAGAATTTTTTTATTACTATTATAATATATATTTTAATATATGCAGCGTGTATAGTGCAAACATACTTCAAAGTCACTTTTATGAAACGGATAAATTCTATTACGCTGCACAATCTGAGAAATGTTGTTAGTGGTATGTCAAATCCGCAACTTTTAGCATTATCTCGTTTCGCATATCACATCGTACTTTTGTATTGAAGCTTTCGCATTGTAAAAAATCCTCACATAATAAATGCTGTAACTTCCACCAATTTCGCATTGTAAAAATCCTCACATAATAAATGCTGCAACTTCCACCAATCCGGTTTATTGACAAAACAATCCGGAAATTTCTCAAACATTAAACTAAAACATCTTTCATTTTCTGGATTAATCGTGCCACTGCAAAGCAAACAAATTACTTATCTATTATGCACACCTGTGTATATGTAGAAATATCTTTTAAAAGATTTAGATAATTCCAAATTTAATTTTATACTACTTACTATCTTGATTTTTAGTGTATACAGGTACAGTAGGATAGATCTGATCGTTCACCGAATCCTATAATGTCGGAACGAAAACCAAGTCTTCTTGCCACGCTGTGATATATTATTATTAAAATCATTTCTTGTCCATATCTACTTTTTAGTACCTATGCCAAAAAATATAATAAATTAATAAAGGAATGACAGTATTTTTAATATATAAACAACCAAATGGCCATGCTAACAGTATGATTTTCTTCTTCTAACGCCACATATAGTTATAATATACATTATATAGCTTATTATCTACACACATGTATTCCAGATTTGTATCGTTTACTTTGCACGGTCTGAAATTTAATTTGCCAAATATGTATTCGTCGAATGCATCGATAATCTAAATTCCTTCCGCTTCATTCCAGTGATTATCGTCTATATTATTGTTTTCTTAATAAGAAAAAGTTTTAGCGGACGTCGAAAATATCGAATGATCTGGATGTTTTTTTTTCAGATAGTTTTGTACCTCTAGTGCGATATGATCCTAAGATTCTACTACGTACGCGTAAGTTACATCCTTTTGAATTTGTAAAGTTTGCGCTACATTAATGGCAGTCTATTCCATAAGCCACGCTCTCTGAAATAAGAAATTTGTGCAATCTTAATTTTATATTATATTTCGATATAAAGTTAAATAGTTTCTCGCGATAATATCTTTCAGTTAAATAGCAATCAATTCTTCTGAAAAATTTACATATTAAAACTGTGCAAGAACATAATCTATAAAGATGTTAGCACTATAAGATATATTAAGAATCTTACCGTGGAGAATGTGCAAGCTTTTTAGCTCATCATTGTAAAAAGAAAATTGGGAGAATTTTTGATTATAATAAAATACTTCTTCATAATTATGTATGACTAAATAATGATCATATATAGGAATTATAATATATGTTCAAAATTCACACAACTATCGATTGATACTTTGTGACAATGCATATATCTCATTTGTGACACGTATTTTCGGAATTGTCTTGTATATCTGATACCCAATTCTATAAAGTTCATAATTTGTTTCTTAGATTTGTATTCTTCATGATCTTTAGTCTTAGACAATATGTCACAATATCTTTTTAAAAAAGACCATCTAAAATTGAAACAAAAATGATTTAATAAAGTTTTCAAATAATATTAAGAGTTCTTGCAGCATCATTAATCGCAAAATTCAGAGGTATATATTTTTAAAATAATTATAATTTTCTTATTTAATTTTTACATATTATATCTTTATTTAGGATACTTCACAAATTATTCAGTTAATTGATATAATTTTATAATATTACAATTATATAAAAGTACTTTTTTTATTTATATTTCATCAATTATACATTTGTATGCTATATTTCTAATTTCTAATTATATTATAGCTATTCATTACAAATAGTAAGAATCTTCTCTCGACCGTACTGGCAAATATTATTTATGCAATCACAACGTTTCGACCCTTTTTTGAGTCCTTATCATGTGATTTGTAAAAATAAAAATTAAATTATAATTTTAAAATGTCAAGAACGAACATAGTGTCGGTTTGACAACACGTCAAAACTCTCAGACGAGTTATTAGAGTCTGTTTGTTTTAATAAATTAATGTATATTGATTTTGTTATTAAATTTGAAATATAGAAATATATATATATATATATATATATATATTTATAAAATTTATTAAATATCCCGAAAAGTATCATACTTCATTATTTAATTCCATATATGTTAATGATTACGGATTGAAAATAAAAGAAAAGTAATAAATAGATTGGATGACGATTTTCGAATATATATGATTTATAATTATAGAAAATCCATATAAAATCGTTATATTTCTACAAAAAAATATTATATAGACAACACATACGCGCGCGTCATTGTCCAATTTTTTTTAATTATATTTAATTTTGTTTTTTAACAATAACTGTTAACCAAATGTAACTCACAATGCATATCTAATCGTTGCATCGCCGCAGAACAAAGTACAATATTTACGAGAATCGACTTGATTTGCCTTTTTAGAAAATGATTATTTCATAGATTCTTTTTATTCTACTCTCTATTTTATTATATTATACTTTTTATATTTGTAATTTTATAAATAAATTTTCAAATATTACAATGATGCAATGTTCGAACTATTCATGAAAATTTACAAACAAGAAATTACCATTGAGAAAATTTCTTTTTCATATACTTTGTATAACTGGCTGTGTAACGAAATTGTTTGCAGACGCATCGAAAATTAATGATATTCTCGATGGTGATATCCTTGTAGCCGAGAATGGTGAATATCAATTCCTCTGGTAAGGATATTATCGTTGCCATTATGACAAAAATTTGTTAAAAATCACTATAAAAAATTTATAAACTAAAGTAATTGCAACAAATTATTCGCGAATAATTTAATATAATAACTGGCTGCTTCTAAAGACATTAAATTTTAGACTGCACAACACGTGTTCGAAGTTAACGCTGCGCACGTTGTCCACTCTTTGTCCATTATTTTCTCAAATATCTATACCTGAGGTGCTAAAGTAGTCCCTTTCGTCCTGCATTATCTTGTGATGTGCCATACGTAAAAGAGAGAAACAAATAGTGTCCGGTAATTAACGGAGCAATGATTAAGGGCGGATTCTCAGGCCAATTTGGAGACGATTTTTCCTTAGCAAAAATGTTGAAAAGTCAATAATTTTCGAGTTATAAGCAATTGAAAAAATGGATTTTTTTAAATTCAAACGTTTTGGAGTTAAAGTCTAACATAATTACATTCTTCAGGTAAAGTTTACTATAATAAAATTTTAATTTGAGGCTTAGTTATATAGATACATAATGACAAATATTGGAAAGTTGTAAAAAAGGAACTTTTTCGACATTTTCGATGAGGAAAATCGTTCTTAAATCGACCAAAGAATCCACTTGTAATCGTTGGTCCGTTAGTTAAGAACCCCTGTATATTGAGGGAAACTCTATTGTGCCACTTTCACAATGAGCCTGTCAGAAGGAAGAAGACAGAGAATCACAGAGAACAGCATTAAATTAACGCGCGTAAAAGTGGTAGCGAATATATAAATAAATCATCTTTTAAAATTATGCTCTCTCTTTAAAGCTTGCACGAAAACAGACATACATTAAATATTCCATAAGATATTCAATTTTTCAAACAAAATAAAGTAATTTTTATTTTATATATTCTTACAGAAATACAATTTTTTTATTTTGTGAATTTTTTTTAA